GACCATAGGATTATTAGCCTGATGAATCATATGTTGAAGCTTTTCCTACGAGTAATACACTAAAGAGTATACAATAAACTACACGAACATACTGGTCAACCGCAGTTTGGTTTTAAGAATGGGTTCGGAACAAGAGAAGCACTTTTTTTCAATACGTGTGTTAGTTAAAAGATGTAGATATTTCGATTCTGATGTATACTTGTGTTTTATAGACTTTCAGCGAAACATCTGGAAAAATCAATATCGAGAAGGTAGTAAGACAGGGATGTGTCCTATCACCTTTGCTGTTCAATATTTACTCTGAGAAGATATTTCAGAAAGCAGACCGACTAACGACAGCCTGTAGAGAATATGGAATGAAATTGAATACAAAGAAGACAAAAACGATGGTCATCAGCAAGCACCAAAACAGAAGGGTGAAGGTAAATGTCGACGAAACAGATCTGGAAAGAGAAAGAGTAACAAGAACAACATACCTTGAAAGTAATCTTGATGAAACTTAAGACCACTCACTACAGATAAGAATACGCCTGGAAAAGGCACGTACAATGTTTTACAAAATGCAAAAAGTTCAATACAATCGCCAGCTGGGCATCTCATTGAGAACTAGAATACTTAAGTGCTATGTTTTCTCTATCTTGCGCTATGGTGTTGAAGCCTGGACAATGACAGAAGGAACACAAAAAAGAATCCAAGCATTCGAACTTTGGTGTTACAGTAAAATGCTCAGAATATCCTACATGAGCCATACGACAAATGCGGAAGTCTTGCGCAGGATGAATTAGGAAAGAGAGCTTATGCTTATTATAAAAGAACGAAAAACACAATATTTTTGTCACATCATAAGAAATCAAAAGTATGAACTGCTCCAACTTATAATCGAAGGCAAAGTCAATAGCAAAAGAGAAAGAAGACGCAACTCTTGGCTTAAAAACCTACGGCAATGGACGAACATGACCTCTATAGAACTATTCAGGGCTGCTACAAATAAGATTACATGGGCAAATATAATGGCCAACGTCCTTAAGAATAAGGCACCGTAAGAAGCAGAATCTACAACTAAGCTTGATCCAATAACTATTGCTGTTACTGTAATTTTAAATTAAAGTTAGAAGGAAAATTTTGATACATTGCGACAGCTTTTATACAAGAGTAAGTTGCGACCGACGGAAGGTCAAATAATTTAATATCTTTGACACCTAACCATACAATATACGGTGTAATCACTACAATGTTCCAAATATTGCACAATATATTTAAGACACACTCGCACACGGTTGATAAAGCACTACTGTTTTGTAGCGTTTCAGGTCTAATGCTAGCAAAGACATTTTGTCTACGACTTTCCATTTTCTCATATGTTGTGAGTTTATCGTTATATACTATATTTTTATTTTACAATTAATATAACATGCTAACATCTAACATCTAACATGGAAATGAACTACTGGAGACGATGTTGCCAGCTCACTAGACTTGATAGGGTGAGAAACGAAGATATTCGGAGAGAAATGGAAATCGATGTAGATATAATAGACACAATCGAAGCCAAAAGACTTAACTGGTATGGACACCTTCAGAGAATGCCGGAAAATAGATGGCCAAAAAAAATAGAACAATGGACTCCGCCAACTAGAAGAAAACGAGGTAGACCAAGACGATCCTGGAGAGACGATGTCGACGATGCAATGACCGCCAGAGATCTAACAACTGAAGATTGCTTCGACAGAAAACGCTGGAAATTAGGATGCGAGAAGCGGCGCCAGCGGTAGAAGACTTGCTTGTTATATATATATATATATATATATATATATATATATATATATATATATATATATATATATATATATATATATGTATATATATATATATATATATATATATATATATATATATATATATATCTAACATGCTTTATTTGCCATCAAATTTAATTTATTTCTTAAAAATATTTCGAATTTATTTTTAAATAGACATTCCACTTTGATCGGAGCAGTAGCCACGTCCAATTTTACTCGATAAAAATTGACAAATATTCTGATTTTCAAATTCAGTTATGTTTACCCCAACAAGGCTTTGCATTGGTAAGTATTGATTTTGGATTCTTTTTGTGGTGATGTGTGATACGTGTTTCGTCTAATTTTCAAGGGAACATCCTAGAACAAGCCAGTCAACTCGTCTGCTAAAAACCTCTGATACTCATTGATAATAACCATTCTGTGAAAAAAGTAAGTCTAGTAATATTTAATCCGATAATGCACCAAGCATTTAACGACCACCTGTTCTAAGACGTAACTCTAAATAAATTAAAATTTTCATTGGAGTCGTAATGATAATATTGAGTGCGCTCATTGTGATGAAATGTCGATTCTAAGTCGATTATGAGGCGGAGAAGCAAGTCAAGAAAAGTCGCTTCTTTGCCGAATAAAGTATACTATTTTTTCTTCAAACGTAGCAATTTTTAACCATAATTAGTACAATTCATACGCTTTTTTACTCGAAATTAACTGTGACAACTATCAAAGTCGTCTAGATGTTAGAAATTAAAATAATTAAGTCGTCGGTGGGATTTGCGTCTCCGTGGTTACAGTTGTTTGACAGTTGTTTGCAATTATTAAAGACAGCATATTGTTGTTGCAAGCGCAAGCGCAAATTTAGTGCAAAAATGGAAGACCTAAACGAAATTGAGTCCGCGGCTAATGATGCGGTAGCACGTTTGGGGCCCTCCAAGTCCGGAATAAAGTATCGGTTAGCGTACAAGCACTTCCAAGAGTTGTGCGATACAAGAAGAGTACGGCAAGTTACCGAAGACGTTTTACTGGCGTATTTTAATATAATGGAAATGAAAATAAATGGAAATCATCTACAATGTGGTCACGATACTCTATGATAAAATCCGAGTTAGTTATTAGAAAAAATGTGGATATAAGCAAATTTTTAAAGTTACGTGCCTTTCTGAAAAAAAAAACAAGCGAAGGATATACTGTAAAGAAGTCTAAAGTTTTCACTAAAGACGAGTTTGATAATTTTTTGTTTGAAGCACCAGATAAGTTGTATTTAGGCTTAAAGGTACAAAAAATTATATTGCAAAGCATGTAGTATACCTACTTTACTAAATTATAAAAATATTTCAGATTGTTTTGTTAATTGGGGTTACCGGCGCCTGTCGATGCGACGAAATGATAAAAATGAAGACTGTGGACATTAAGGATAAAGAAAATGTAATAATTATCAAAATCACAGAGAGTAAAACACGACAAATTAGATATTTTACGATAATTGGTCAAAACTACATTAAACTGTATAAAAAGTATGCATCACTGCGGCCTGAAAATTTCACAGAAAACCGATTTTTTATCAAGTACCAAAATGGAAAGTGGTACCGAAGCGTCATGGGAATACATTCGATCAGCGCCGTAGCCCAAAAAGTAGCTAGTTATTTAAATTTAAACGATGCAAGCGCATACACGGCTCACTCTTTATGACGAACTTCAGCAACACTTTTAATTGATGGAGGCGGAAATCTAGAGTGCCTCAAACGACATAGGGGCTGAAAATCAAGCACGGTTGCCGAAGGATATATAGAGGATTCTATAAGAAATAAGAACGATAATGCTCAAAAAATTTTAAACCCCTTATGATTCGCCAACATCGGGAATGATTACGGAAAGTTGTTCTCGACCATCAGTATCATCAACAATTACCAATGCGTATCAAGAGTCGGGAAAATTTTTGTACGGTTTCAATTTTGAAAACGACTCATTAACTAATTGTACTTTTAATATTACTATAAATAAAAATGATGTTTAATTGTTATTAATGACATTTGTATTGTTGCTTTGTGACATGTCTCAGATTGTTGCCATGACAACATTTTTTCCTTCGCCATAAAGAAATGGGAAAAAAACTGCTGCCGGCGGAGACATCAAACTTTGACAGGATCAAGTTAGATAAGTAATGTCATAATTATTTGACGTTTGAAGAAAATAGTATATTACTTTATGAGGCGGAGAAGCATGACTTTTCTTGACGCGCCCGATATTACGCACCGAACGAAGTGAGGCGCGTAATAGAGGGCAAGTCAAGAAAAGTCGGTTCTTTGCCGAATAAAGTATACTATTTTTTCTTCAAACGTAGCAATTTTTAACCATAAATAGTACAATTCATACGCTATTTTTACTCGAAATTAACTGTGACAACTATCAAAGTCGTCTAGATGTTAGAAATTAAATAATTAAGTCGTCGGTGGGATTTGCGCCCACCTGGTTACAGTAGTTTGACAGTTGTTTGCAATTATTAAAGACAGCTTATTGTGCAACCGCAACCGCAAGCACAAATTTAGTGTGAAAATGGAAAACCTAAACGAAATTGAGTCCGCGGCTAATGATGCAGTAGCACGTTTGGGGCCCTCCAAGTTCGATAAGAACGATAATGCTAAAAAAATTTCAAACCCTCATGATTCGCCAACATCGGGAATGATTGCTGAAAGTTGTTCTCGACCATCAGTATCATCAACAATTACCAATGCGTATCAAGAGTCGGGAACATTTTTGCATGGTTTCAATTTTGAAAATGCCTCATTACCTAATTATATTTTTAATATTACTATAAATAAAATGATGTTTAATTGTTGTTAATGACATTTGTATTGTTGCTTTGTGACATGTTTCATATTGTTGCCATGACAACATTTTTGATGACAATGTCATCATTATTTGACGTCTGAAGAAAAAAATCTTTTCCTAAAAATTTACATTTAAACTTAAAAATGTTTTCTTGCAAATACAAATCATTCATGTTTAAAAATCATTTTTATTTAATTTTAGATGAAACTTAATTTTAAATGGGGGTAATTTGATTTTCATTTAAAATTCTTCGAACCTTCTTTAGTGAATCAAAACCTATATTCCACCTGATCACCATCTGCAATTAAAAAGTTTTATCACCACTTAGAAAGTAAAACTGCTTAAAATTTTTGACAAAAAAACTTATCTTTTTACTAAGTTGACATGGTTTCAATTTTTCCAAAAATTTTTCCTTGCCTTTATACATTCTAGCACGTTTTCGATGGGCAATACTGTATACAGGTTTTTTACCAGGCTAATTATTAAATATCTGCTGAGATTGCAAATGACACTTGTAGATTACTGGTAAATTAAATTATCATTGTTGAAATAAATAATTTCCCAAATATGTTCTCCGCTTACCAGTTTATAATAACGTTAACAGAACATGTTTTTACAAATAATATCTCACGGCTGTAATTTACGGATTATTATATTAATAACAAGATAATCCAGTGTCTGATAAAAAGATCATTTTTGATAGTCTAGAACAGAATTTTAAATTACTTTTTTCCAGGTATGTCCGGAATTTAATTCCCATGGGCATACTAATCTTTACTTATACTTAATTTTAAATTTAATAGGAAAATGTGTTACTCATATCTACTTAAATTTAGTATACAATAGACTTTGAAGCGCAAAAAATTTCTGAATATATTTCTTTTCATTGCGTTTGTTAAGCTTGTTATGTAGTTTTTTATGGTCAAAAAATTATGAAATACTACGTAGAAAATTACTTCTTCTTCTTTTTCCTTCTTGTATGTAGGCTTTAAAGCCTGTTACTTCTTCAATATTAGTCTCCTAAATTGTTTAAATTGTCGCACTTTTTTTTTTGGTCTGCCAATACTTCCATTTGGTGACTTATCTCGTGTTATTCGTACTGTTATATCTTCTGCCATTCTACTGATGTGTTCGTTCTACTCCTGTTTTTGTTTTGTCATCCATCCATTTCTGTCTTCTATATTGCATGTTCTTCTTATGTTTTCGCTTCTCTCCCTATATAACAGACTATTCCCTGATATTCGACGGAGTATTTTCATTGTTGTTTCTAGTAGTCGTCTCGTTTTAGATGTGTGAGGTCTTGTCTCCGCCGTGTATGTTAATATAGGTCTAATTGCTGCTTTTCTTGTTTTTGTATCTTGTCTTAGGTGTTTGTTCTTCCAGATTGTGTCATTAAGAGAACCCGCCTTTTTACTGGCTTTTAAGCGTTGTTGTTTTTCTTCTTCTTCAACATCTCCGTAACTAGTTATATCGATTCCCAGATATCTGAACCTTTCTTTCTGCGTTATTATTTTCCCATCAATTTCGATTTTATTCCGTAGTGTGTATTTAGATGTTGCCACACATTTGGCTTTTTCTGCTGATATTCTTCTTCCTATGCCGTCCCTATTAACGGAGGTTGGCGACCACATTTTTAAAAGCTTCTCTGTCTTTTGCAACGTGGAATAATTCGTCTACAGTCATGTTTGTCCAGTCTCGAATATTTCGCAGCCATGACTTCCTTTTTCTACCTATTCCCTTTTTGCCATCGACTCTACCCTGCATGATGACCTGCAGAAGACTATATTTATTATTTCTTAGTATGTGTCCAAGGTCTGCTGATATTATCATATCATATTTCTTAGCTGTTGTATTGACGGTATGTGTCAATCTTTGGAGCTCGCCTTTTGTCTCGGCGAATAATGCGACGTCGTCTGCATAACATAATATTTGGATTTCTTTGTTCCTCATTCTGTAGCCATGACCTTTACTTACTGCTTTTATTATTTCGTCTATTATTATATTAATTAAAACTGGGTTTAACGAGTCACCCTGTCTCACTCCGCCTTTGACTGGTATACACTGTGTTAGTTTTCCATTTATCTTTGCCTGTATTAGATTATGGAGGTAGATGTTTTCGATGGTTTGTATAATATTAACTGGTATGTTTCTTTTATACAGTAGGTGTAAGACGTCTTTGACTTGGATGCGATCGAAACCCTTTTTCAGATCTATAAAACATAGAGATAGGTACTGGTTTATTGTAGTCGATGGCCTTTTCTGTGATTTGTCAGTACAAACACGGCGTCTACGCAGGATCTTCCGGATCCGGATCCTTGCTTTTCATCTGATAAAGTTGTATAATGACTCTTTTTAGAAATCTTTATCGACGTTACGTCATTGTGTTGATATTATGAATGAGGTATTAATATACAATGAATTGTATATTAATACCTCGTTCGAAAACGAAGGTGCGTCAAATATAAAAAATGTAATTTTTATTACAAACAATTGTGGTAACATTTAATATAAACTTAATATATAATTTGAATTGCAAATCACCGGTATCAAGAATACTTATTTGGTATGGAAAACGAGTACAGATCAAACATCTAGGAGTAATACTAGAAAAGCGGCTTACACGGACTGTTCATTTGGAAAGAATAACCAACAAAGCAAAGCTTTCCCTTTGGACATGTCGTAGACTGTGTGGAAAAACATAAGGTATTGGCGACGTGCAAGTACTTGGAGGGGATACGAGAAACGATCGTGCGCGAGTAGTGGAGAAATCTTGCATTTTTTAATGCACATTTCATAGATTATAGATTTCATAAATTCATATTGTCAATTGTCATATTTCATATTCGGTTTGTTTATTTACACCTTCTGTCACTGAAGAAAATGGGATTTAGGAAATGCTGTGTTATAAATTGTAAAAATACAACAAAAATTGTCAATTTAAGTTTTATTCGTTTCCAACTTCGAAGCACAAAGCTACTACAAAGAGAAAAGTAGATTTATATTATAAAAAAGCATAATTAACATAACCTAAATTATGCATTATTCTTGCCTCCAATTTTAAAGTCAGTTTGAAATAAATATTAAATAAAAGTTCACTTTTAAGTGTAAATTTTAGTTTCATAACACTCACTTAGAGTTCATTTTAACCCAAAAATCAAGTTTATTGTTTGAATTTTATTTTTTTGAAGTTTACAAAAATGCATCAAGTTCAAGTTTTTCTGAAGATGCATTAAGATATATTCGCTGTACAAAAGTTTACAGGGAAAGAATTAATTGTTCAAACCAATATGATGATATCATGGGCTTAACCTGCTAATTAATGCATTAGCATTATTTATGGTAATTTATTTTTCTTAATTCTTCCACTACTACACTTTTTTGACATTTGCCACTACTAAAGCTTTTCCCTTTGACTCGTGCTTGGTTGAAAAGTTATTTGGTGATTTACTTTCTCAAATCCAGTTTTTATTATTGCATCCATATTAACAGTAATGCTGTAATTCAATAATATATTTATTTGGATTTACGCTACATCAACGTTTACCTTTTAATAACATACCGACATAACCTCAATCTTACTTTTTCTTCTTATTCTTTTTTGGGGCCACGTCCTTGACAGTTATCCGGTAACCTCGATCTAACATGAAAGCGCAGTAAATTTGGTTGATTTACGACACCAGGTGTCGCTGTTCCGAACTTACACGGTCCCAATAATACCCAAAGAAATATGCTGCTGTATATGACTAGTCAGATCTATGATTACGTATATTGCACTAATATAGTACTCTAAATGCCAAGAAAAGACCATCAAGGAGAATCTGAATAAGCTTCAAGTTGCTTAATCATAACAGAAACATATATTATATATATATATATATATATATTATATATATATAAATATATATATATATATATATATTATATCAATGGTATTCCGGGTTTGACTCCGCGTTAAATGTTGTTGGTTTCGATAAAAACCATTTTGACGACGTTTCGGCAAGATCTCACTTGCCATTATCAAGTCTCTCTGGTCTGCTGGTTGGTCTGGATGGTCTGCTTCTTGTCGATGTTCGAGTGGAACATCGAATCCACTCGAACATCGACAAGAAGCAGACCATCCAGAGAGACTTGAAAATGGCAAGTGAGATCTTGCCGAAACGTCGTCAAAATGGTTTTTATCAAAACCAACAACATTTAACGCGGAGTCAAACCCGGAATATTATTGATATAACATACAGCTTCCGCGGAAATATCAAAACTAACATATATATATATATATATATATATATATATATATATATATATATATATATATATATATATATATATATATATATATATATATATACAATTTGTAAAGATAGATTAAAATATGATTAGTGTAGAAAATAGATTTAAAATATTTGGAATATTGTAACAATAAAACACTGAAAACTTTGTTTTCAAACTTCCACAAAAATTTTATTTTAACTCTTATCACTACATCGGTTTCGGCTGAATGCCTTTCTCAAGTGATCTATTTTTGGCATGCGTTTACACTTTATAGTCTCTAATGAAATAGGTTGAGGAGGGAAGAACTGTTTGTCGCAAGTTGGTCATTCAGAATTATATCTGTGTTTTTTAATTTGTTGATTTTCCTAGATTCTAACAAGGATAGCTTAAGGCCTTTATTTTGAATGTGAAGAATTTTTAATTCGTCGTTAAAAGAATGATTGTGATCTAGAAGGTGATATGCGTATGTAGAATCTGTTTTTCCATTATTGAAAGACCTTTTATGTTCTGCTATTCGTTTTTTAAAGTTTCTACCAGTTTGACCGATGTAAGTTTTTGGGCAGTCGCCACATTTAAGTTTGTACACACCAATGTGTAAGTGTTTTTTATTTTGGCTCTTATTGTTTTTCCAACATTTCAATTTCCATCAAGTAACGGTCGAATCCATCAATTATTTGGAATATTATTTTTTTTTTTTGAAATCCATTATGGCATGTTTAAGAAGGAGAAAATAGTTTTGTAAAAAATACGTCATGACTGAAATTTGTTTTGATTGGTTTTAAATTTAACTCAGGAGGGGGAATGATTTTAGAAGGGTGAAATGAATAAGTAAGAAGGGCAGTCTGTTTGGTTCGATCGAAAGGAAGAGGCCAGTTTGTGAGTGTAGTGTACAGAGAAGAAAATTGCCGGCTGGTTTTTCAAAAGTGACAAGTATCATATCATTGGAACAAGGAATTAGGCCAAGTCGAGAGAAGATATAACTCCGTGAGTCTAAAATATTCAGTAATTTTTAAGTGTTTCAACAGGTTAGAATACTGCATCAGGAGAAACTCGGAACGAGTACTGTACGAGGCAGAGCAAGGAGCCAGATATTTTTGGGAAACGTGGACAAGTTTCCTTGGATCGCAACATCAGCAAATAAGGAAAGGTGTTTGT